CCAGCCCATTTCCCCCAGGCACCTACTACAGTTCCAAGAACGACTGTGGGCTCATTTTGTACAACTGAGGGAATTTTGTGTTATCAAGAGGAAAAAGAAGGGAGAAGAGGAGGGGAGAAGAAGAAAAAAAGAAAAAAAAAAAAAAAAAAAAAAAAAAAAAAAAAAAAAAAAAAAAAAAAAANGTTTATGAATTTGCAATTTTGTACTCTTATGATACAAAGATCTTGTTGATTAACACAAGAAGCTGGACAAAGCTTTAGGAAGATGCACTCTTAACATTTTTCTCACTGGTCAGGTTATTTAGATTCTCTAGCTCTGCCCCATAAAGACATGACAAAATTTTAATGTCAGCTTAATCAACTTATTTCCAAAGTCTCAGATCCCACATACATTAAATTGTCTTCCAGAGATGTCTTCTTCTTTTTTCACACTACGGTTTTACACTAACAGTAAAATTACCATCATTAGATGACCTAACTGTATTTTCCCAGTGGTTATAAATGCTTGAATGAATCACTAAAAAACTCTATCAGGCAGATCAAAGCACCTGCTGAAAAGCCATCGTTCTATATTAAATTCTACTGAATTGGTTCCAAAACTGTGAGTAATCTTTATGAAATAGATTGGTACTTTAATGTCTGCTAATCAAGTATAAGCCTAATAATTCAACCTATTGTCAGACTTTCCCGCCTTCTTAGCTGTCTCAATATCTCAATACTGAAAGGATTTACATACTATGAGGTATGTTCATCACTAAAAATTATTTCTGTTTTAAGCTGAAACAACACAGTGTGTGGCACACTGCCTCAGTTCAGTGTTGCAGATATACAGGATAGTCATGTTATAACTTTGTTGTCTTTCAGAACCATGAAGTCTACATTCATAAGGAGCAAACCAAAAATAAATAAAGACCCTCCTTTTTTTCTTACATGTTTCCATACTGCTTTGATGGATATAAAAGAAATGCAAATCAGCATTTCAAATAGAAAGTGTCATGCTCAGCTCCACACCTTACCCTGTGGCCAGGAATTGCTTGATATTCCATGGTCCTCCACATGGCTGAACTGCTGCTGTCATACATAATGTGGAGGTACCCAAGAGCTCGAGGCTGTTAAAGGGCTCCCAGCATACCTCTTTGGGGAGCACAAATTGCAGTTTCCAGGCAGCATCCACAAGTACAGAAAGAAATCCAAAAGTACTTGACATTAATCACAAAATCTTCTATTCTGATAGGACTTTTACAGTTCATTGTGAAGCATTAAAAGTCAACTGTTATCAGGATTGTGGTTACTTAGAATTACTTTCTTGAAGTTAACAGTGCAAAGTAATTAATTTTTAGAGCATAAGAAGGATCTCTTTGTGGTATAGGAGGGTTGCACTGCAATCTTTTAAGCCTATTTTGATGTACATGATGGCTTCATTGAAGTCACTTGAGGATCAAGGTCTGCACAAATTCCAATAAATATAGTTTCATAAAGAGGACTACAAAGGAAGGGCTGTGGGGAGGATTAACAGTACATGTTGCATATCACAAAACTAGTAGGTAGGTGGTTGTCTTTGAACTTGAGTGAGAGAGCACATTTTATATCAACAACCATCACTGACATAGAAAGACACAAATAAAAATACCACGTAATCACTGCCTACAGAAAACAGTTGTATTCAAACATCTGTTCTCTCACTGAACTCTTTACAACAACTGTTTTGACATAAATATCTCTCCAACATCTTTTATCTCATAGACTTATTTTAATAGTTTTCTGAAATACATTTCAGGTACTTAGTGCAATTAGTAAGCCTAGTTAAGCCTTATTTGTACACTCAATTTCCTTTACCCGGTGCTGGCAAGTCCAAATGGCATTGGTGCTAGCTGCCATAGAGTGAACAGTGTAAACATGAGGCAAAGCTTTAGAGTGTTGAATTCTATCACTGAATCCTTACATTGCCACAAAAAACCCATCAGCTGCTGTGCAAACAAAGAAGCACAGTATGAAAACCAGTATTTTTCTATTTTAAATATTTCCTGTACACTCCAAAGACAAGTCCTAAATTTTCAAAAATGTATGGCATGACTATTCCATTTTTGCTCTACACAGCCTTTTTTCTACAGGAAGCGAGACTGGTCTGGCCAGAAATAACATTACCTGATGTTTCAATGACTAACAGATTAGTTTATAATAATCTTGTAGATCATGAAGAATGAGCATCAGGCTGGATTTGTTTGGTAGGACTTGTTTGACCTGCTCAGCTAGAGGTGGACTCCAACAATTTGATTCCAGTCTGCAGTCTGAAGCAAAAGGCTCAACCAGAAAATTATGAGCCCTATGCCTACCTACCTAGTTAAAATAATTGCCAGGGGATACTTTTCTATCTAAGCAACTCCCAACTAAATAATACTTGTCATCTCCAACTACCTCAAAAGAAGAGTTCATTGCTGCATTTTCCACTTAAATTCCTAACTTTCACCTTGGAACACCACCTAAGACAATGAGCAGTAATTCAGTCTCCCAACTACCTCATTCTAAGAGAATCTCTCCTGAGAGCAGGCTGCTAAAGGCAGTTTTGTATTTGACCCAGTACTAGAACAACAAACTCCATTTCAGTTTGAGTTACAGTTTGGGTTTGGTCCAGGACTACAGATGGCATCAAAGGCAGTTTTCTTTCTTGTAAAATCACATATCAGCAGCACTTCTACCTTGGGGAAGGTGGCATTTTCAAATGTGCTCATCACTGATCTTCCTCTCCTTCTTCCTATACATTTCATATGGGAAAAAATGGGCTGGGGGGTGGGGGTAAAGAGGGAATGAACACACATGACAACATCGAAATGTTTCTCATAACTGAAAAATTGAAAAAGAGAAAGAGGACACCCAAATTGGTGTTAATCCTATTGATGATGCTTAACAAGTAACCTTTTCAGGTCTCAAAGTTTCTTTCAGCATAACAAATATTTGTGAAAGAAACCTTATCATTTGGGGAAGAAACTTTATCATTTCTGCAGTTAACAGAGCTTCACTAACTTAAACTGTTATAGCATTCTACCACTATTTCTCCAAAACAACTAATAGTAAAATATCTGAGAGGTTCAATGTATTTTAAGGTTACATAGTAATTCTATATTCAAAATTACTGTATTATTTGTAATGAATAAATTACTGTTTCTCTTCTGTGTTTTATGAAGCCTTATGGCTTCCTCAAAATGTTTTAATACAAAATAATTCATACAAACACTGCCATGAATAATGGCCATATTGGCAACTTTTGATTGGATTTACAGATTGTATAATAATATTTCTTTCCTCTGATTGGTGAATGGAGAAAGAGAACAGTTAACTAATATTCTGGGCTCAATCAAAGGTCATTGATCTTGGTAAAGTTTTTTTCTAATTATGTTTAGTTAAAGTGACAGAAATCTTCATGGGGCTATGTTTAAGATGACTTAAAAATGATTTATACTGAATTTCCTTGATTTTATCAGTTGCTATGAATATAGATAAGGTCTGAGACCCAGTAATAGATATCTGTGTCTGACTGTGATACCATAATAACAAAGACTTAACAGTCAAATTTGATTTCAATGGCAGCAGTAGGTGAAGGAAGATCAGGCACCAAATCGCAAAACTAAATGGTTTTATATATATATGTATATGTATAGATATATATTTGGTTATACAAATATATATTTCCATGAATATCCTTTCTACTATGTTCGCCTGTCAAGGGAAACTCCCCGGTTCAGGAGTTGGACTTGATGAACTTTGTGGATCCCTTCCAACTCCAGATATTCTATGATTCAGTGAAAGCAAAGGTAGAAAATGGAAAATGCTCTTCACCTAAGACAGTATAAATCTGATGTAAATTTTAAATCATTCAGGTAGTTTTCTTGCAAAAATGACTAAGTAACATAACGGTCAACCCCACGTAACGGTGCATTCCTTACACAGTCAGCACAATTTGTACAGCAGAGACTATCAGCACTCAAGGTGGATACCCAGTAGAGAAAGATGTCTATAGGACAGGTTGTAGCAGGAAGAATTACTGGGGTCATGACCTGTCTCTGGTGGAGGAATGAGGACTGAGAATGGGTGAAGTCTCCTTGCTACCCTTCCACTCCTTGTTCTAAAATTGTCCCAATGCGGGGATAGCTCCTCTTCCTCACGTTCTCCATTGGGGCAAAGCTGCTGCTCCCACAGCCTGATCCTGATCCTTGGAAACCCACCTTGGTCCTCTGGCAAAGTATGCAGCAGATTGTACTGGACCGAAGAGTGACTCTCCATTCACCCTGCCCCTGCATAACAGAGCCTTCCTCAACAAAAGCTCCATTCCAGCTTTCCTATTCTCTTCCAGCTGTCCCCCGCTGACAAAAGAAACCCTTCAACCCCCCTAGCTCAACTGTCAGCTCTAAGATCCATGCAGTAGGTGTCATCTCCTGGCACCATCTCATCCTGCTGCCATGAGATGCCTTCTGTACCAAGACATTCAACAGCGTCAACCCCGTCTGGTCTCAACCGTGGCAAGGACAAAAGAAAAAAAGGAAGAGGAAGAGAAGACGGTAAAAATGACCCCAAACCCAAGAAAAAATCCGATCTAACAAACTGTTCTGCGAAGGCCGGCGCCTCCGTGGCCGCTATTCGACGGCAACCGCTTTCGGGCACGGAGCAGCCCGGCAGGTGAGGCAGACAGACCGCGGCCAGGGGCCGCCTTAACGGGGCACCGCCGGCCCTGCGCCGCTCCTCGTCTCTCCTCGCCTCGCCTCCAGGACGGCCGAGCCGCCCGTTCGCGGCGCGGGCAGGGAGGGGTTGTTGGACTGTGGAACTGCCCGCCGCCCCAGCACCGGCTCCCCCTTCCCTTCCTTCCCTTCCCTCCCTGCCGGCGGCCCCGCGGTGCCTCCCGGCGCGGTGCGTTCGTTACCTGGCGCTCGGCGGCGGCTCCGTCCTCACCTGTGCGCGGCCCTGCCAATGGCAGCGCACCTGGCGGCCGCGCCGCCCAATCAGCGCGCGGCTCGTCCCTCTCCCCGCTCCTTTAGTGAAAGAATCCAGCGCCGCTCGGGAAAGTTACCTGTGCGCGTCCGGCCCGGCCGCTCTCCCGTGCCGAGCCCCGCTGGCGCCCCAGCCCCGCCGCTCCCCACATGCCAGGGGGAGGGGGCTCTACCTGTCCTGCCTCGGCGGCTGGCTGCGGAGCCGGGAGAGGGGGGGAAGGAAAGCAGAATTACCAGTAGCTCTGGTTCTGCCGTCCCGGGCGTTCACACGCACACCTTCACCTGCACAGACCTGAAAGTCCAGTTCCGCCAGGGAGACGGAGGCACCGGGAAAAGGGGAGAGAGTTCATTGGATCAAACATGTCACAAGAGACGGACAAGTAAGTGATCGCAGGCACGCCGCTGCGCCCGCTGCGCGGGGCGGCCCGCCGGGCTGGCCGCGTTCCCCCTCGCCCGTGGCGGACGCGGACCCGCCGGGACGGCGCTTCTCCCTCTTCTCCCTCCTGCAGCGACGCCGGACCGGGCGCACAGACACTGCGGAGCGCCCGAGGACAAGGCTGCGGCTCGCCGCCCCGCACCTCGCTCTCCGTCTGGCCGTGGGGCTGCGCGAATAGTTTTTTCTCTTTTTAGTTCAGGGATTTTGTTAGTTTGATTTTTTTTGTGTGTGTGTTATGTTTGTGGTTTTTTTTTTTTTTTCCCTCACCTCGAGGGTCGCTTTTCGGGAGGAAGCGCTTTTCGCCCTGGAACAGCGGAGCGGTCTACGCCCGCCGAAGGCCCCGGACGGAAAGTGCTTCTTGGCTTTTGTGTTGGCGCAACAAAGGGCTTTTATCCCCCAAGGGCCGGGCACGGCCATCTTCCCCCCTGGGCTGGGGCCGGGCGGGCAGGGGGCCCAGGCGGCGGGAGAAAGGCCCTGGCTCGGCCCAGGTGTTCGCCGGACGCCCCGTGCGGCGCCTTCAGACCTCGCCGTCCTGACCTTGTTTTTCCGGCGGGACGCCCCGGCGGGCCTGCGGCTGCCCGGAGACCGGCGGGGTTAAAAAGTAACTTTCCCAGTAGCGGGGCCTGAGGAGGAGGAGGAGGATGAGGAGGAGATGGAAGCCGCCCTCTCCCGACCCGGGGCCCGCTGCAGCCCCTGTTCTGCCCGGGCCTGGCGCAGCGAGGCCGGGGCAGAGCGGCGGTGCGAGGGGACTCCGCGCTGCCCCCCGGAGCCGCAGGCCACAGTGTTGGGTTACCCACTGGGACACCCAGGCCCGCGGCGGGGCCAGCGGCGGGCTCGGTGTCCCGGGGCGGGCAGCACCGGGAGCCGTCGGTGGGCGCGGAGGCCACGGCGTGGCTGTTCCCGCCAGCGCGGCTCCGGCAGCGCCCGGGGCCGGTGGGCCCAGCCCGCTAGTGGGTCATTTACCCCCGGTAAATAATTCGCACGGGCGATGCCGCGCTCCCGCCATGGCGGCGGGTGGCTCGGCCTGGCGCCCAGAGCTGCCGTGGGGCAGCCAGGCGGGAAGGCCATTTTCCCTGCTCCGGTGATTAGTGTTTCTGCAGGAGGCGGCTGGGGAGAGTTACGGGCAAGGGAAGATGGAGGGCGGGAGGTGGCAGTTTTGTTTTACTGCTGCCCCGGTGCAGGTAGGACCGCCACAGAGACGGGTGAGATCTCGGCCGCGCTTGGTGTTATTCAGGTGGCAGCCCTGGTTGGGCTCCCCAGGAGCCTTTGTGCTAATGGAGGTGGAGAGGAGGAGCCTGATGCTGGAGGGAGGCTTGGTGACAACCTGCCTGTCAAGGAGTGAAAGAAGGAGATTATCCTACAAAAGAGAACAGCAGAGTTCTCTACTGCTCTTATGGGGAAGAGACAGGACCGTTCAGAGGAGAAAGATTAAGAAAAAAAAAACTAGGCCTGGTCTTTTCAAACATCAGCTGACAGTGGAATTGTTCAAAGGTAGTTATTGACATGAAATTAAAGTGGTAGGGGTAGGAGCTGGGAACAGAGTGGAGTTTAGGAGTTCATCTGAGCTGCGATGGGAACTAATGCCTTAGGTGGCCAGATTAGAACAGTAAATGATTAAGGAAGGGATACAGCCCTGAGGGGTGCCAGTGAGGAGCAGGTGAATGAGCAGTCGTTGGTGTCAGGAAGGGAACCAGATTAACTGTGAAAGAGCTGACGTGGTGGAAGGCATCCCAAAGCAACGGGCAGTTCAGGGCTGCATGAAGGTGAAAAGGGCCTGTAAGTTACTCCCTAGCCCAAACTAATTGCCGGTAGTTTCAGCATTCAGATACTAGAATGCGGCACATCAAGAGCAGTTAACGGGAGTGGGAGGGAAATACGGAGGGGTGGGGAGGGTCAGAAGAACAACTTTGCGCGACAGTCGGCACTGAAAGAGAAAACCAGTGCAGTGGAAACCTAACTCATGTAAGAAACTAGGGCAGAAGTAGTTCCCTTCTGGACCTTTCCAACAGGAACAGGATGGCATAGGTGTAAAGTATTGAGACAGGAGCGTTAATGCCCTTCATACCCCGTTCTGTGTAGTGCTGCTGCCGTTACCACTGGGAGGAACTTAAGAGCAGTGGCAGTGGCATGCAACCTCAAGCAACAGCACTTGCCCCGTTGTAGTTATGGCTGTGATCTCTTTCTGGATAAGGTCTTTAGAAAATCCATAGGGGATAGTTAAGAGTTTGAAAAGGAAATGAAAAGTAAAGAAGTCTTCTGTGCTCTCTATACGCAAGTGTAACATGAGAAGACAAATACATTTGTTTCCAGAAGAGATGACCAGGTGGAATGAGGTAATAGACTGATGGGGGGAGTTTGCATGGGAAGGTTTTTTTTTTTTTTTTTTTTTTTTTTTTTTTTTTTTTTTTTTTTTTTTTTTTTTTTTTTTTTGGGTGGGTTTTTTTGTTGGTTTTTTTGTTTGTTTGGGGTTTTTTTTGTATGTGTTTTTTGTTTGGTTATTTTTTTTGCTTTAATTATATCCAATTAGAACTTAATCCAGGGAGTACATTATTCTCCTCCTCGTGGCCTTTCTTATAGTTAAAACCAGATCTTCCCTACAGGCAAAACTGGACAGTAATTATTATTTTGAGGTCAGTTAATTTGTCGGTGTCATTGGACGTGTCTTCGTGGGGCTTCTGCTAGTAAAGTGCTGATGTAGAGAGGACTAAACAGCTGAGGGGATATAGAAAGCGTGGAAAATACCTTCTGTGGGACTTGCCGGCTTTTCTGGAGGAGTGGTACACCCTGCTGCCCTACGGCTCCGCTGGGCTGCCTGCAGTGTTCCGGTTTGGAGGGAGGAGCAGGAACAGCTATTCTATAGTCCTTTAAGGGAGGAAGGTGAACAGTGGTTTTGTTCTATAGTGCTTTAAGGGACAGTTAGGTGAAAATGCTAAAGAACCAGGTGTTTGATTCTAATGCTAACTGAGGAGTTTGGAAGGGGAGATTATCCTTAAGATAGTCACACTATCTTCCCGTCTTTCCCTTTAGTCTTTCTGCCTAAGCTGGGTCTTGCCTGCTTGCTTCCACAAACTCCCATCGGTCAGGAGAGATAAGGCATGATTGCACATGCATTTTTTCAGAGGTAATACCGACTTAAGCAGGCTGCAGCCACTTGTTCCTGTTTCTGTTCTGCCCTCTCAGTTGTGTCAGTAGAGCTGTTTGTGCAGCTAGAGAACTGGCTCAGGGGAGTGCTGGTTTGAGAGTAGCCTGATCTTCTGGAGGTTATTATTGACATTCATTTTTCATCGGTCTGAGTTCATGTGCAGAGGGGCTACAATCAAATGGCAGGTGTTAAAGACAAGAACGGCTCAATCTAGAATCCTTGCAGAAGGAAATGTGTTTCCCTGCCTACGAATGTTTTGGAGGTCTGTGCAGCTGCTTCTGTTACTATCCAATTTCCAGACCCATTATGATGGGAACCTGGGGATTAAATGGAGACTGGGGGACATAAGGTGGAGAGGAGGGAGCATCCCCTTTCCATGGTGTTAAGATGATTCCAGGGTTCATTACTGCATTTACAGGCTGAAAAGTTGTTCTTACATGTAACGTACAGGAGAAAAAGATCACTACAAAATTCCAGAGTAATGGTTCTAGTGCATTAGTGAAGCTAATCAGTGAGCTCACTACTTCCTGAGACTTAACTGGCTCTTAGAGATTGACAGGACTTCTGTGAGGAGCAACAACTGTACAGCCGTTTGTGATCTGCCACGGTTGTGTCGCTGCTGCTCCTGGTGTTGTGTGAAGCCCCTCGTGGGCTGGAGTGCAGTTGCATGAGGAGCAGGCTCGCAGCAGGCCCAGCACGCTGGCCCTGTGGCTCTGCTGGCTGCCCGGCTGCGTGACTGCCCGACTGTCAGGCCGGGATGTGCAAGAGCTACCCAGGACACCAGGGAGATGGGGCTGGGGCGTGCTCAGACTGACCACATTAAGGAGGGCTTGGGGCAACCTGGGTCTGCAGCTGAGCATGTGCTTGTGGGTAAATAACTGAGGGGAGAGTGAGCCTGTAGGTGGGAATGGGTTCAGACCTGTTCCCGTGTGTGTGTGTCAGTGGAGGCATGTTCACCTCCAGCTTGCTGCTTGGTAGTGTCTGTGGCAGAAGTTGATCTTGGATTCTTCACAGGGTAATTTTGATTTACTAATTTCTCCTTAGTGTGTAAATATACTGCTTTCATAATATTTAACTTAAGCATCTAGTACTATAATACAAAGGGCATTTGTAGTTTACAATGTAATTCTGTGAATTGTTCTCAGTTTTTCCTTTGAAGGTCAAATGTGTTTCCTGTCACCAGATCATGAACCTGTCAATTAGGTGACAGACTACTCAGTTATATTTTTTTTGCCCATTGCTGAGTGTCTGATTAGGACATCCACTGAGATGAATTTTCCAAAGTGGTACTCCTCTGGGAAAGAATAGAGAAACTGGAATTAGATGTGTTTAGTTTTCCACTGTCAGACATACTGTCGTGGATGTTCCCTAGAAAATCGTTTCTGTGCAGGGAAGGTAGAAAATCGGTGTGCAGAACCTCACAGAGCCTGCAACTATAAGCATAACTGAGAGGAGTAAGGGTATCAAATGGTTAGGTCTTGCTGATAACACCACTGTCTCTCTAGTGCTGAAGTCTGAGAGCAGATCGAAGATCAAAGCAGAACAGGAGGAGGGATTTTCCCAGGTCACTTTACTGTAATGATCCCATAACTTCTTCCCTGTGGAAGGGTCAGCAGGGACATCATCATCCTTGTTCTGGCAGGGACACCTGAAGGGGAAATAATATTACACCAGTTGACGTTTGTTGTCAGACATTTTCACAAATATTAATCCAGTGCAGACCATTGATGGTTGCCTCAAATGTTTTTTTTTTTCCTTTACTGTGGAGCAGCCAATTAAACTGCCCTTTTTCTGTACAAACA